TGAACTTAGCCGAAGCGTATTATCCGAACAAAATTATGTAATGCAGTTGGCCGAACAAAAGCCGAGCAAAATTATCTAATGCAGTTGGCCTTTAATTAAATTAACCGGCGAATATCAGCAGGCACGTACAATACGGCCGAGCGTAGTTAGTTCTAAACAACGAAGTAGGTTAACAGCAAACACGCGCCACTAAGGACTCCTATGCTGTTCCGCTGAAGTAAGCGAAAGGTTCCTTTAAATACTCTTTCTACCTCATTTACAGCAACATTATACTAAAAACTAATTCTGGTAGGGAATAGTAGATGAGAAATGAAAACAGACAGTAAAGCATATTTAAAAATTAAAATAACTGCTAGAAACTTAAAATAACCTCTACAAAGTATTTGCCCAAACGTGGACAAAGATTACTATTTTAACGCTTTATAGAAATCTCGTTTGGACGTTCTAGAAAGGTTGTCTCGATTATCTCTATTCTCTTAGTCACTGGTCAGAAATTATATTTTAATCAAAATAGCTAATGTTTCAGTTTAATAAAAACATTTGCCTGACGCTCTAAACTGCTGAAATCGTACTCTCTTACAATAAATATATTGTATTTGGAATTTGGCTCAGAAACTAGTTCCTCCTTTAAATGCATTCTGTGGCAAAAATCTCTACAGTGACTTACATTATTTATTACATTTCTTGTTGCATTATATCACATTTATATCTTCTGAACAACTTTTATCTAACCCAATGAGTAGCACGTCCACTTTCATCTTGCACTTGTAGTTATGAGACTATAAGGTCTTTCTCCCGCCTTCTTAGCTCGCCTTCGTGGTGTAGTTGTTCTGCACGCTGGGCCGATAATTCTAGAGGTCCGTGGTTCGATTCCCGACGAAGGCGTTTGCTAATTTTTTCATCTCTCCAGCTTTTCCAATTAACATAATGTCTCTACAGTGCCCCCGAACTAAAAAGGGTGTTGGATGATGATTCTCCTCACCCAGGATTTGGCGATTGGGTCCCCTAAAAACCCCAGTCACCTTTTAAAAGGGGGAGTATATAATGTATTTCTCCCGCCTTCCTAGCGTGCCTTCGTGCACTCTGGGCCAGTATTCCAGAGGTACGTGGTTCGATTCCCGGCGAAGGCGGTTGCTAATTTTTCATCTCTCTGGCTTTTCCAATTAACCTAATGTCTCTACAAGATAATTTGTATTTTATTGTCTTTACCTGTAAAATATGTTGCTCTCGGTTTTCTCTTAACTGTTTTATAAATCAATGGTTTGTAAGTATCGAATCAAAGAGGGAGTTTCTGCTCTACAAATCATTGAAATGTATATAACATTTAAGCTATAAAAATTAATAATAATATAAAATGTTTTGAAAAAAAGGGGGGTTAATCTTGTAAAAAAATGTATCTAACTGGACTATAAAAGATGCTGTTCCTGTGAAAATAATTTATTCTGCATATTTGGTAGATGTTTGTTCTGTGAAATATTACTTATTCTACGTATTTTACACATTTAACTTAGAAACATCATTTTAAAAATCCAGGTGCTGTAAATTAAACGCCTCTGCGTGAAAAACAGAAAATTATGCCTTATTTTAATAAATTCTGGATATCTAAATGCTACAGATAAGCGTATTAATATGTATGGCCATATATAAATGCAAAACACTAAGAGAATGGCAGTACCTACAGTTATTATTTGCTTATACTGTATCAATTAATGGCTGTATTATAAAGACATCTGGGATTTTAGGAACGAAAATTATATATACGTAACTATGCCTCCACTAGGATTCGAACCACGGATCTTCCACTGCTAGAAAGACGTGTTACGTCTCAGACCAAAGTATCCACTGCAGGATGCGTTTATTCTTTATATTCTCCTTTCCTTCTTGAAGAGAAAAATGGGAGAGGTTATAAGACTCAATATGTATGGTGACGAATTCTTGCCTAATGCATTTTAGTTTGAGTGCCATTAGAATTAGATAGTTAGAATTACGGGAAACGTATTAAATATTAAATTCATTATGAATATATATATATATATATATATATATATATATACTGTTAATGATATTCAAACGGCACGTATTCTCTTTATTGGATGGATATACTACAACTTACTCCACAACAGCTAGTTCGAAAGGATGCGATTACGATGTGAGGTCTTTGCATCTGTTATATTTCCTGTTTCACCTCTCAGAATTCTACCTCAAAATTCTGCCTTTAAATTTTTTGACACTAAAGAAGAAAAAACTGTCACGAACTCTCCTCCTTCCAAGTTAAGAAAAGTGCACTCTCGTAGAATCATATGAATATCGAAATTTTTATGCAGCATAAAGCCCATGCGTAAACATATATAATAGATTTTATACAGAATTTTTTATTTTTCCGTTTTATCATATAACAGTTACTATCAAACTTTTTTTAATTTACTACAGCACGCTTAGCATTTTCAATACTATGATAACTTTTATTTGTGTAAATTAATTAACCAAAGAATATCTGAAGACTTGTTGTGACGTCTAGAAACCTTGTAACGGAAGAAGCGGTAATTACATCATTGTGGGATAGTTACGATTGTGTCTGGTATTAGTGCACAGTTACACATCACGATGTTTGTGAAATTAGATATAATACTTTTTAACTGCTCATTATTCAAAGGAAAATCAAAATTTAACCTTGAATAGCTCATGCTCTAAAAATAATTCATGGCACAATGGCTTTTGACCTTGTATTTGTTATATACGAAGCCGTGTGCTGATGATTAGAATCCTCTTTACTCACGATATCAATCTTCTTTTATGCCTCGCTTCACCAGGCACTAATTTATGTATGTTAATAATGATACTAATTACTAATGATACAACATTTTTCTCAGATTAGGTGGCAAAAGGGCAAAGAGAGGAAGGTAGAAATGAAGATTTCAGTGATATTTGATTGCTGTTCAAAGCCAACAACTAATTTACATTCTCGATAAGTTGCGTACGTTTGAAACCATATACTTACGTCTACGATGTTGCATTGGTGCTCTTCTCCATGAAGCATTCGGGATTTCAGGATCATTCATATAATGTTCAGTTGCTGCCCTAGCAGCTAATTTCCTAATCTGAAATTTAAGAAAAGTTTGATGTGGACACCGCATGACTTCCATCTAGAGGCTATTAATTATTCTTTTTTAGAACAATAATAAACTAATATTAAATATTGTTAGATATATTTACAACAATAAAACGATATTAAATATTGTTAGACTAACTGCATAGATATAAAAGCAGTTATAATGTATGTACTTAGATTTCATTATATGTCGAAAAAAAATTTTTTTTTAACTTGACATTGCAAAAACAGGAATATTTTCATCATTTAAAACACTTCTGTAATTAGAAGTGTATGACTTCGATAGTAGTCAATATTAAGTTACTGCAAGTACTAAGTTACTAAGAATTAGATGAATCATCAGGTAAAGTGAATTACTAAAGCTCAGTTATTATATCTAACTACTCTGAACCTAAAATTAAGAAACATGGCACTGTAAAGGACAAAATTTTTGATGTTTTGTTTTCGAATATGCATATATAAATCCGAGAAAAAAGGAAAAAATTCTTGAACAAATCGCTATTGCAATATAAATGTATAATTTTAAAGAAATCTCAAATACTGGATGTGATTTTTGAAATACATGTATAAATAAGAGTGAAAACGAAAAAACATTAAAGAATAAAAGAAAATTAAGATGCTGTTGCTGTTCATTTATAAAATAAATCAATTACTGCCTTAATTATCAAATTAAAATGCATTGCAATATTTTTCATTCCAACGAGAGACTCAAGAATTGGTAAATAATTACAGAATGAAAAATTATTACCTTGTTCGCAAGCCTCTTTAAAAATATAGAAGATACGAATATATGTTTTGCCTCAAAAAAAAATTTATCTTTTTTAGCCCAAAGGGCGTTCGTTATCCCAGAAGTGCTATTAATTTCGTTTTGGTATTTTGAGTTGGTTCATTATAAACGACGTTTCACTTTTCAAATTGTTGCCACCAACTATTAGAGCCCTGCATTATATTTAAAGAAATGAAATAATGAAGAATCTTCATGAATGTATGTATATTTCTCGCACTGTGAAAAAAATAACTGTACCTAGAGCCATCCAATTTTTAATAACGTAGTCCTCCGCTCAAATATGGGTATCTGAAAGACGAAATTTGGAATCTTGAATTTGTTTCATTATCTATTTCATATTTTGTAAAATTGTAACGAATTTTTGATTTACAAACGCAACGATTTCAAAGCGAGCAATGACAACACTGTACGGGGGGGGGCATTTTATCTTTAACGCGCGAGACATCAAAAATTCTAAAAGTATACTCTTTTTAAATATTTTGTGATATTGCTGTTGAAATAAATTTCATGGTTTAAGTGCGAAGAACATGATATTTAATAAAGAAAGTTAACACACAAAACGTTAAATAAACATGCCTTTGAACGTAATATAAAAATCTGAAAAACTTTCAGATTTTGTTTTTCCTTTCTTTCTCTTTTTCTTCACTAAATATGCTATATATTTAACTAAATTAAAATTAATAAATGAAAATTAGAAACAGTTTTCCCTGCATTGTAATTACGGAACTAAAATTCTCAAGTTGAAAACTACTATGAGTTCGATGACGTGTAGAAAAAGGAAAGAAATGAAATCTAGTGGAGCTGCAAAATTGGATTAAAAGCCATTAAAGGACAATGCGAAACAATGACAGAGATTGAAAAACCAGCTTCCGATGGAAACTAAAGATGACTCACAAGTATCCGCACATTGAAAATTTCATGTAAACGAAAACCACGAATGGAAACCGCCCATAAAATCTTCACGCGGGCCTTATGTAGGTCAAGAACTTCTGGACTCTCTTTCCCGCGCAGGTGGGGTGGTTAAGAAAAAAAGTACTCGTTACCTGCGCCCAAGGTCAACTGGCCAGCTCAATCAACTTTAGTATAAAAACGTGAATTATGGAGGAAATTATCGTAGTTTCGCTCCAGAAATCAGTGATTGAACAGACAGCAATCAGAGATGTTTGCCCTGGTAAGTACGGTACCCCTATGGATTAGCATAACTGGGCTTAAGCATAATTGGAATTCTTCCCATATCTTTACATATTTGTTAATTAAATTGTGTCATAATTTCGAAATAAATCTATTTTTTTTTTTTTTTTTTTTTTAAATGTAAGGTTACGAAGATTGTAATAACTTTATCTAAAATCGAGCAAGAAGGTTTTCCCAGTTTACCAAAAATTACTAACTCACTTTGTTAAATGAAAATTATCAATTGTGTTAAATCAAAATTATAAATATATGTTACCTTAGATTTATGAATAAGTTGTCACTAACATTACAATTCTGATTTTATTTTTCTTCATGCTTTGCCAAGCTACCCGAGATGTACTGGAGAATCCAAGACGTGCTAAAATCTTTGAGGAATTCTAAATGCTGTTTGCATCAATTAACTTTTACAGGATTTTGAACGGCTATGTTTCCGTCTCACAGAAAATTATCGATAGAGACAAAACCTATGCTACTAAGAAAGGCAAACACAACCCTCTTTATTTTAAATCACTACTATAACGGAATTGAAGAGTTACATAGATTATTTGTAAGAAAACACTTACGTTAATTTATTTTTTTATAAACAGACAAAATTAACCAAAAACTAAAAAATTCCGTTAATACCACACAACAAATTTTTCTGTAAATATGATCTTTATTTATTCAAAAATGCTGAGTTCTCTTGTGTTAAGTGGTGAAATTTCAAGGTTTCATAAAATCTGGCAAAACTCAGCCTCATGCGGATTTCGGAGTTATAGAAAATTTATTAGAAGAATTCTTGAATTTCTTTTAAAAGAAATTAATTTTTTATCTCTCTTCGTCAAGGAACAAGAAAAAGCATAGGCCCTTTTTAGTATAACAGTCAATGATCTAATGTTTAACTTTCCTAAATATTAAAATTCAAAAAAGCGTGTTTCTTTTAAACAGTAAGCATTTTATTTTTTAATTTAATATCGTTTACTTTAATAACTTTGGGTAAATTAGGGGCTATTTACATATTTAATTTATTGTAAGTTAATAGTTCTTAATAAGTTTTGAAAGATGAATTAATAAGGCTTTTATTATCAGAGAACGTTGTAAGATTATTTCTTTAAATAAAGACGTTCCACACTTATTTTATAAGTTAAGAACCAAGGCAATGCCGAAAACCAAAATCGTCGAAATGAGAACTCAATCTTTTATTACTTGCGAGTATAGTTTGATCGTCACAATACGTAAAATGCTATAGGAATCTCGTGTAAATGCATGCAAAAGCCAAATATTGACATTTGGTTTTAACATGCAAAATCGAACACTATTAATGGTATTATTTTTTAATTTATATAATGGGGAAAGTCTAAGTCAAAAAAGAGATTGTGTATTCAAATATGCAGGTTCTGTAGCAAATAAAATGGATGAAAAAGAATGCAGAAAGCGTAAGATTCTTACGGAATTCTAAAGTTGGACTTCTTGTTAGAATGTTTGCCATATTAAAACTCAAGTGGATTGTATCTAACTATTTTCAAAGATTGTTTAAAATTTCCTCAATGGAAATTTATATTTTACAAAAAACATTGAGTGGTAATTAGTGTAAATATGAAGAAACCTGGTTCTTTAATTAACTTATAAATAATAAAATAATTAAAAATAAATAATAAAATAATTATACGATCCATATTATCCATTCAACTTTCGTTAAAATTAGTAAAAATGATGATCTACTGAAAACACTACAATTTTTAGTGCTCCATTTTCAGAGTTTTTAAAATATAAGATAAACAGTATTATAGCCTTATCCTTGGAAACATTTTTGCTTTTATACATATTGCTTTTATTTTTTTATTTATTTTTTCTGTTGTTTTCTAAAATGTTTATCAATAAAGTTTATTATTCATTATTCTTTCTGAACGATTAAGGAATTGTTAAAGAAAAATTCTATTGTGGACACCATATGATTTCTTTGTATGATCTATAAAATTATATACATTGTTTCCTGCATTTCATTTAAACTTATTTCCTCGAATAATTCTACTTTAATTATCCTATTTCTCAACTCATATTGAAAATTACATCAAAAACTGCAAATTTTGAAATTAAATATCCTTGCCAATTTTTTTCGTAAGGGAGTCAAACTTCGTATAATTTTATTGCAGTAAGCTTGAGCAGATTGACGATGGTTCTCTGCGTTTATCCTGGGGAGACTTTATTGCGTAGTTAGAAAGCTGACAATCGAAGGAAAGCCTTGTAGACAGACGTGGCCGAATTGAATATAACTTTTATTGGTGGATACAAACTAATTATCAAAAACATATTTTCCATCACACATTATCATCGGCGCAATACTCGCCAATGGCATAGTTAGTAGCACGACAAAGCAATCGGAGCAAAGTAGCATCTTGACTGCATTGGTGCTGAAGCTAAAAATGCGCAATTATCGAGTATGGAGGCTCACCAAGAGCAGGTTTGGAGTGAGGTTAGAAAGGTGTCAGTTCTTCTAAATTGTGAGTTAAACCTATCTGCATCTTAAAATATACTATGACGTTGTATCTTTTATATTATTTAAATAAAAGAAAAAATTTAAAAACATGTGAAGAAATGAATAGCACGTTTATTTTTTTATTACTTGGCCTAGAAAGATTAGCAAGTGTTTGGGCTACTTAGAGTTTTCAATAACTGAATTTATAATAATTGAATCTACTTTATGTTTATATCTATTAACATCTATTGACATCTGGTAGAAATGCACACTCGGTACTTTAGATGCTGAGCAAAAGGTATATGTTATTGCCAAATCATTCTCATTCATCACAGAAACCTTTTTTAAATACTTATCATTCTCTTGAATGAGTTTTAATATAATAACCCAAACTGTATAAAGAGTCAGTAAAAATCATAACTTTCCAAATACTGAATCTGGCTGTAATTTTAGAGCATTTCGATGCTTTTATTCTTTTATTTAATGCTTTTATCAGACTTGTGTGTGTTACGTTTAGAATAGCATTAAGTTTATTTTTCAGAGAGGATTGAATAATTTTAATGCAGACAATTTAAAGTTGATCTGACAAAGTAAAATTCGATATAACCATCGAGACAAAAGAAAAATAATACTTAATATTCACGAAGATAATTTAAAATACGCCCCAAACAATGAAAGTAAAGCGATATTTTATTTTTAAATTATAATTTAGATGATTTGATTTTAGTAGGTTTACGTCTTATTAAACGTAATGGTGCTCATAAAAGACGTACCAAAATACAATGCTATCCATATTTGAAAAAAAAAAAATAATCTTTCAGATTTTATATCACTCCCAAAGGGGCGTTTTTCTAAATGCTTTGTGTGTTGCCTTTATTTATTAAATACCATGCTCTTCGCACTTAAGCCATTAAATTCCATTCAACAGCGATATGATAAAAGGATTTGAAAAGAGCATAGCTTTAGAATTTCCGATACACAGTCTCGCACGCTGGAGATAAAAATGTTTTTTATCTGATACATTGTTGCCATTGCTCGCTTTGAAATCGTTGAGTTTGGTAATAAAGAATTCAATAAAATTTTACAAAATGGGAAATAAGTAATAAAATTAATTCCAAATTTGGGCTTCCAGATACCCATATTCGAGTATAGGACTACGTTATTCAAAATTTGATGTCTCTAGGTACCTTCTTTTTTCAGAGGCCGAGTTTTTTCCCTTGTTTTTTCAGAGTGAAAGAAACATACCTACGTCCATGTACATTTCTCATTATTTATTTTCTTTAAATATAATGCAGGGCTCTAATATTTGGTATATTTGGTGGCAACAATTTGAAAAATGAAACGACGTTTATAGTGAACCAATGCAAAATGCCAAAGCGGAACTAATAATCCATCTGGGCAAATTGTCCCTCTGGGCTAAAAAAAAGCAAGTGTTTGTGTCTGAAGGAAGTAGAGTTTGGTTTTAATAATCAGAACGAATCATATTGAATATAAAAATTCTTTCTATTGAAACAGCATATGTCTTAAATATATATGTGCTTCATTGTGGTTTAAAACACTTTCAGTTTAAGTTATAATAAATCAAAAATGAGTTCTGTTTGCGACAGTTATGATTTTTTTCATTCGAAATTTTGAAGCAAAATATTTCAAAGTATTCTGCTTCTCACTTTGATATCAAAAGTTGAACTATTTTTACAATAAGTGGCTTTATCATTTTTTAAAAGGAAGAAATAAACGATAATAGTTTCATTTATTATTTAAAAAGTAATCAGTGTACTTTCACATTTTTCTTTTGAAAAAATACTAATTTGAGAAAGACTTCATGTAAAATTATTTGCTGCATAAACACGACTGACTATATATTTACTCACAGACATATATTACTTTCTTTAATTAACATTGGAAAAATCTGCAATAAATAAGCTTTTTCTTAAACAGTTCTTAGCAGAAAACAGTCCTTAACAATTAGTAAGATGCATTTAATAATGATATTTGATTTCTCCTCCACAAAACATTTTTGGTGTACTGGAAGTTTTTTTTTTTTTTTTTTTCTTGTTAAAATGCAGGTCTAAATAAGTTTTAATACTTCTAATTTGTATTCTATACAGTATCAAAGTAAGTAACAAAATAAGGTTAAAATCAATTTATATAAATAAAATAAACTGAAAATGCAAAATAGATTGGAATTACGGAAAGCTTTCATTGTAAAAGGTTTTGATGACTGTAAGATAATACTCAGTATGTAGAAATGTCATTATTCTGTTTTAATATCTTGATTTACTTGTGTCAGATTTAAGAAATTTCGAAAAATCTATTCAATGATTCAAATCCTCTGACGTATTTAAGTCATTAAAGAAATATACAAAATTATGAAAAAGGAAAGCGGTCCAGATGTTTTAAAATTCAGGAAACGTAAAAACACACTTTTTCAAAGTCACCATTTTTCAAACCAGTTAATGATCGCATACGTTTGGAATATTTTTATTTGTTTATATAAACTCAATGCGTACAGCTTGTGATAGAAAATCAGTGGAAATTCAAATCGAAGTGCTATACTTTTGCAATGCTAGAAACATACGTACATTCACGCAGGTTCTTCATTATTTAATTTCTACAAATGTAATGCAGGCCTCTAATATTTGTTGGCAACAATTTGAAAAGTGAAACGACGTTTTATAGTGAACCAACGCAAAATGCCAAAACGAAATTAATAGCCTTCTGGGCAAGTTCCCCTTTGGGTTAGTAAAAACTTAACATTTAAATTTTCAGTGCCATTCTGACTTTTATAAAGATCAGTATTACTTTACTGCAAATATCAGTTCAATGCTTGAATTCTTAATACGCAATCAAAATTAAGGAAAAGATTCTTAAATATTTACAAGAAACAGTTTTGTGAAGATTAGATATTTTAAACAGATTTTAATTGAATAGTCTAATAAATAAAAGGCTTATCTAAGACCATAATATTATATGCTCTCTCTCTCCAGAAATTCTCCAGGAAGTTTGAAACTCTCCAGAAAATTTGAAAATGTACTGTTAAGAGCTTAAAATAAAGTATTTTGAGTAAATTTAATGCAGCTTAGGAAATAAAAAAGGAGACATAACTCATTAACTCAATAATGTATAGCAAATATGTTTAATTTAATAAGTGATTTTTTATGCTAATTCGGCAATTTTCAAAAAGAAAGAATATTTTACGGTTATTTAAAATAACATTTTATAATATGCATTTCATAATGAAGAAAAAAGATTTTATTCAGCCAAAATAATAATATTAAAACTATATTAAATGAAATATTTAAACTGTAAAGAGTAAATTTTAAAAATAAATTATCAAATAAAATTGATGAAAATTTTAAAATTATGAAATAAAAATTTAATACTGAAGTTGTGTAATCTAAATCTTTGAAAGAAAATTTAAGTTATTAAATGATCGCTTTAACTAGATCCAAATTGTCAGTAAACTTTAAGCTGAAAAATTAGTGAAATTTTCTGTAATAACTAGATACTATTGAATTTTAATCCTTTATGCTCCGTTTTGATGTAATTATTCTGATGATTATATATTATCAATCCAAATTGCAATATCCCTCAATAGAAATAATTTATTAATTTTAAAATAATGCTTCTGACGTAGGAGGATTACATTATTATTTTAAAATGAGATTATGAGATTTCAAATTAGGTTACCTATACTTTTTCAAGTAATCCTCTATTAAAAATTTAATTATCCAGACATTAAAGCTTTTAAAACAAAATAAATGATCATTTGCCAAATACATTAGTTTAACATATTTAGCCCCTTGGTTATTAAACATAAATAAATTAAACCGTAATAATTTTAGATTGTCTGTGCTTAGTAATTAGCCTGCTGAGTGCTTGGAATTATCTTTAGCCCACTGATTTAATTTGATTACATTTTCCATTCCCGTTATTGCCATTCAAGAAGCACAAAGTGGATTAGTTACTTCAACAACCAATAACTTGAGTCAGCGTACGTTTCCTGAACCAGATTTTGCTGTTAACAATAAGGGAAAGTGAATGAAAATTCTTATCGATAATCTAGACGGAACCCACGCCACGGAAGAATACCGCATGCAAGTTGGACTTGTTGACCTTAATGGTTTCGAGACATGATACCAACAGAACCACAGTTCACGCCTTCCAGCCTGCGTAATAATTATTCCTATCTGCTGTGATATTACACGAAAGCAGATACCGATCTTGTATGTTTAGCGAAGGACACGATCTTTGTTGATATCCATAGTGAGACTGGCTAGGGCGTGGTTGTAATGGCCTTAAGAAGCGGTATGTAAAAGGTCGCGCTGGGTAATATAGTTTACGGAAGTCTACGTTTCATTATGGCCTTCATATGGCTGATTTTTACATGATAAAAGAAACAATTTCGTAGAGAAAACCAGTTTGGAACTTTTCCGAGCATTCTGTGGCTACATTAATCAGGTTTAGTTGTGAGATAAGGAGGTATAATTATCTCGTCTATTCCGGTTTTATTATTGTCCTCCTGAAAGGATACCTGTCGCTTTCTAGATTGATTTGTTGCTATTCTTGTCATAAACAAGCACAATTACATAAATATGTTTTGCTTATTAACACATCATTTGGGGATGCTGTCATACAAATTGCTTTTATTGTATTTTATGACAAAGAATAAATGTTTTGCTTCGTTTTTGAAATCGCTGCAATGTTTACCAATTAGTTTGCATCTAGTTTAAAAGCATTTGTGATTGATGGCCTTTAAAGTTGGTTTAGTAGTTATCCTCACACCTTTTCTTGTGTGTTTATCGAAATTTAAAGTTGCAAGAACCTTAAAGCTGAAGATGATTGACTATCAGTTGTGATAACTAGGAGGAGAGCTTAGATAGTGTAAAGTGACCATCAAAAGTTTCGAATGACTTCTATAAGTCAAAAAAGACATTTTAACAATATACTTCAATTTAACATTGCAGTTTCTTCTTTCATTCGAAACTTTCAATGGTCATTACACTAACTAGGCTCTCCTATTTTTCACAGTTCATGGTTAATCATCTTTAACTATAGCTTTACTTGTTCTCATTTATTTTTTATATAATTTTTTTTTAATTCACGAAACGAAATAAAATAACTTAAGGAACTAACCTCAAAAGTATCCTATCGTAATATGGCTTCAGTTGGATTACTCTTATAACTCTTATGAAATTTCCTTAAAATACGTATCTTCCCTCTATAATTTGTTATGAGTTCATACGCTAAAGATGAACAGTAAAATTGGATCAATATTGCTACCCCTAGGATGGAAGGAAAACAGCCATATAGTTTTCACACCTCATCTGGAATTCGGACGGTTACCATCGGTTCATATGCGTTTTTCGTAAGCATTAAGAATAACATCTTGTACACGAAATACAGTTTCCATTTGTATCATCAGCCTTAAAATTTTCAGTTGCATCAATAGTTTTATTAGATGATATAAATTAATAGAACTGTTAACGGTATTTGCATATTTTGGTTTGAATGACAGCCTTACTGAATAAGTGTAGTATTCTAATAAGTTTCTACAAGGAGTCGCTGGATTGCAAAAGTTTAGAAACCATTGCTCTAAGAAATGAAATTCCTGCTGTTAATATTAATTTTCTGCATTTGTCAGTCCAATATATCATTATAAGAATATTACTTCTCAAAAATCATGTCAAGGAATTTAATCTTACTCATATTTAATTTCTAAGAGAATATTCATGCAATACCTCATCTTTAAATCAGTGATTTGAATCAGTTATTGAATTAATAGCACTAAAAATTTACTTGGTTTTTCTATTTAATTTAAAATAAAATCCTTAAGGGATTTCAATCGGGATTCAGACTGATTCCCTAAATTTTCTTCTCCAGAGATTGAAAAATGTAGGCATAAAAACAAATCTGGAGTTCTATTAAAAATATTTAAAATTTGTATAAATTTCTGTTTTAATAAAACCAATAATTAGAAGAAATTTAACGGCATCAAATATATTTAATTAAATGGAAAGTATAAATTTTGATTTTCAGCTTTTGCAAATATTGAAGTAACATAAAATCCATCGCTTTCTGAACTTATATTACCCATATATGCGACACAAAATAATCAATTTGACACAGTTTCAAATTAAATGAACTTGATAACCAAATTTGTCATACCATTACACGCAGGGAATAGGAAGCGAATAACTTCCTATATATTTTCTTATTTTTATTTCTGAGTGCCTATTGTTGTCTTGTTATGTACTTTGCAAAGTTAAAAATATCTTCCATTGTCATATATCCGCTCAATAAAGCTACATTTTGATAAATTTAGAAACTGTAACCTGAGCAATAAACCAAAAGAAGATACTAAAAATTGTTTTAATGTGCGAATATGCGGCTGCATATAATTAAATGTTAGCCAGTGAATCTTGTTCTTCTTACGTTTTACATCATTTAAATTATTACCTTCAAAAAATTCTCATAATTTATTACATTTGCAGTTTCTTCCGTTTGTCCTCTCTTGCGCTGTAGCAGCCCCCAGCGGTGCTCCAATTTACGCTGGTGTGGGCGTGCTTGGACCATCCTACCATGCTCCAGTTGTTCCCGTAGCTGCAGTCGCTCAGCCCAAAACTGCCTTTTCTTACACTGTCACAAACGTCAACAGTCCTACTGGGGCCATCAAACAACAGACAGCAGTTGGCAAAGATGAGCTAGGGGGACATGTTATCCGCCATTCAGCCCAAGCCACCAATGTGGATCCTCATTCTGGACAAACAGATGTGAAACATGATGAACACGAATTCCATATCAATCCCTTCATTGGTGAGGCTGGTGTACACACACAAAATGCAGAAGGATCTTTGAACCCCACACTAGGTGAGTTGTTGCCGAAATTTGCACAAGTTATCAAATTTTAATTTTTAATTTTGTTTTACAAGTTATTGAATTATAAAAAATGTTCTGGTTAAAATCGTAGAATAATTTTAAAATTTACAAGCACTTGTTCAAATGTATTTTGCAGAAATGTATTATGCTTGTCCCATTTATTTTATTAAAATACCGTTAGCTCATTTGCAGCAAATCTGCTCATTAGCATTTTATTTTGCCGAATTAACAAATGTCTTAAATGTAATCTCCGGTTAGTTGTATGTAACACAACGGCAAAAAGCATGTTTTGAAAGAAACTATTCTAAGCTTGTTGAGTTTTAAGTGATTATTTATACTTTTACTTTGCAACTTAGTTCGCAAACAGGTTGATTTATATAACAACAAAGCGTTAATGAACTTTCTACCATAGGAAGCCTTTAGTAAAGAACATTTTAAGGGTGCACCTGAATGTCGTAATTGAATACATTATTAGATAATACTGAATTTATGTAGTTAAATAATTTAAATATTTACCTAAAGCTATAGGAACATTTATGAAATAGTTTAAATGTAAAAATATGCTAAAAATGTAAATTTTGATGTTTCGCTACTTTATTGGCAACTAACAGAAACGAACTTCGAAAATACCAGAAATCATAATAACCCTCAATATTTTCTCCATTCTGAAAAAAAAAATCAATTCTTAAACGAATTTTAATTCCATATATTAAACTAAAATCATTCCAATTCTATGATCAAGCAACATTTCGAGCTTTGCTAAGCATTTGTATAAAATGGAAAGCCCTTTTTGTTAATTTTAAATCCAACATTATTACCGAAATGATTCATCTTTATTATTCGGATTTTATTGAAAATCTAGAAAAAGCGTATTATAATTTCAATCATTTATAATTATTAATTTTACAATAAAATTTTAGTCACTTTTGCAAAGAATACAAATAGGAAATTGTATTTCTCACTTTTCATTCCGAAAAATAATACCTAGGTTTCACAGAAAATTTATAAAAAATATTACCTTTAATATAGTTTTTAATGCTTGTAGTTCCTGATGATAATCCATTTGATTATTGTCTTGAATTAAATATAGATGTAATAATTCGGTTGAGCATCCTATACAGGTGAATCGCAGTGATTTTCAAGTTAAGAATGATTAGATCAAGTACACTTAATTTCTTTCAAGATCAAATCAAATAAGCTTACTGAAAGCTTAATTTAAGATGGTACTCGTCAGGAAAGACTGTTACATAATAGGAAATTATAATCTCTGCATTCGACAATGTTACTTTAGATAATGCACTTCGATTTCTATTTTCATCCAGATTCCAAGGGGCGTTACTTCCTTCACAGCAAAGACATTCTAGAACGCGGGGAATTAAATTACATGTGAGGTACTTCTCCAGTTTAAAATTAGAGAGATTTTTTTGCTGCTTTTTAACGCGGTACTACTTGGTTTTCACGGGTCCCGGTATCAAAATGGCGCCAAGAGTATTGCCAAGCTGTCGTACCTTCCATTTACTTTTAACATGACATAAAAAAGCTATCTTTCCCACATGATTTCAACCATGTGTATTCCGAAAGATACGACTCTAGTGTCGAGCAGGACCCTCTTTTTTTTTCGCCATTTAACAGGGCTCTACAATATTTTAACATTTTGGGTGTGAGCATTTTGGGTGAAAGTTTATGGTTGCCCTTCGTTTTAGCTACCGTTTTCTACATAACTTGGCGATTTATCATGAGGCCGTAGAAATCAAATAGTACCGTTAATGCCTTTCAAATTTTAGATCTTGTTTTTACATTTCACTTCGAATTAATTATAACTGAGAATTGAAATGCAATTTCTAATAACGTAAAATCACTACTAATAGCACACACGACAGAAATCTATAAGAATTTGAAAATTCTCCTTCAAAAGAGACAGACTACCAGAGACGTGCAATTACTGAAATTCCTGAAGACGTGCAATTCCTGATTCCTGAAAGGCCAAATCGCTCGAGCGATTTGGCTTTTCAGGAATCAGCATCTATAGTACAGAGACCATCCGAGCGGGCTCATCGCCGCGTCCCCCAATAGGCCATGACAAAACAGCTACAGGACGCTAACCTAGCAGCCACAACAGCAGACGAAGGTGGAGTGCGGTCTGGAATGTCGGTCTCACACAGAGAACCGAAGGGCATCAAGCCACCAAGGATAGCCCCAATATCTTACGATGTTGCGTCCCCCCCAGTAAAGGGGCAGACAAGACAGTACCAGTACGGTCCCTGCCGAGCCTGAACCCACCCCGAAAGAACGGAGGTTCTAGTCCTGTGAAGACTGATTGTATGCCCCCGCAGTTACGACTGCTTAAGACAGTACCTCCCAAGAATCCTCGATCATAGCCAGTACCTCACAAGAATTGTCCTGAGTCAACCCCCGGGGAGGGGAGCCTACAAAAGGGAAAGGATGAGCTACAAAAGTTGAATTTTTAATGATAATTTTAACAAATTGCTATCTTTTTCAGACTTCATTTGGGCAGCACAAAATGTCGCTGTTCCTATGGCAAAAAGGAAGCAAAAGCAATAAAATTCATAACGACAAAATTAGCCGAAATATATATTTCGATACATGTGATACATAAAATAAATTTTTTAAGTGGATGTTTTTTATTTTTTCAAGAGTCCATAACTTAAAATTGAGAAGTTTTAAATAAGCAACTAATAAAAGGATTTTTCTCACTAGGAAAAGCCGCATTTGCTCAAAAGAGCCACGAAGCCAAGATCGCTCCTGGTCATACCTCTGTCGCTGATGTTGCTGACACAGCCGCTGTTTCTGCTTTCAGTAGTGCAGCTAGCCGTGATGTTAATGCCGCCAGGGCTGATGTTGTTCATGATGGAATAGCCAAGAATGCTCACGCTTCTCACAAAAGCTACGTCAACACACCAGGTATGTAAACGAATTTTAATTTACTAATAAATTTCATACGTAGACTTAAAACTGTAAGAAAATATACTTTCTTTTCTAAAAGAGCTACTTTGTAGCGATACAAATGTTTTAAATAACTTCTTACAGAATTAACAGGGAAACAAAAATAAAATTCTAAAGGCATTTGGGATAAGAAGAATGTAACAATTTACATATTTAAATCTTTGTAAATAAATTAAACTAAGATTTGAAAAATTATGTTAGGGAAAATTAATTATTCTCTTAACTCGAGAATGCTTCAAATTGCCAAATTCTTAACTACCCTCATGAGGAATCGCATTCTTTCATGCGTGTTCTTGTGAAGTAATTAACACATTCAGCTGGCATTCGGAAGATCCGCAATTCCAATCTTAAGCATTTACCATAAGTTTTCTAATCTTACCCAATGAGTTAATATTTTTATTAGTCTACTCATTAAGAAAGATATTAAAATAAGTTTCCAAACTTATTATAGAATAATAAAGAATTAAATGTCATTAATTAGTTAATTCTTGGTAAGTTTCATTCAAATGTTGCATTATTTTCTAAAAACAGCAATTTTCATGCAATATAAAGATTATTGTACAATCGATTATATTGCTTAATAATTCTCATTCTAAGAATTTTACTGCAGCGTTTTACCATGACTCTCAGATTAATCGATATTTAATTTGTCAGGTATTGGTGGACATTCCCAGGCTGCAGAAACTAACAAGCGTAGCTTTGAAGGGCCTGGATATGGCAATCTTCATTATGATGCCCAGTCAGCTAAGGAAGCTTATGATGCTCTAGGACACGCCTCTGCCAGCGAGAACGGATACAAGCTTGACCAAGCTTATGACTTAAGAGTCAATTTGGGAGCCAGCAACGAACTCGAATACAGCCGTCATGCTGCGCATGATCCTTATGGTAACTATGGAGCTGTCACTCAGACAAGGGAAGCTTCTCAAGGTGGCCAGCTTGTGCCAGTTGTCCATGAACAACCAGCTGTTTACATCAGCGAACAAGTCCCTGCCCCTGTTGTTGTAAAAGAAGTAGCTCCAGCAGTTCCAGCACCCGTTGTTTACAGTGCTCCAGCTCAAGTCACCTACCAAAAAGAAGCATACTATAAAGAACCTCTTGTTTATGATGAACATGCCTATGGTTATCCACATGGAGGCTACTACGGCCATGGATACTAAATTATTTGAAGACATATGAAGCAGATTGCAACTGTAGTTGATTTTTCATTAGGCATCAGAATGTTTTATAACAACTGACTAAAAACAGTATATAACATTTTAAAACATGAAGGTTTCATAAATAGCCCCATTACCTAATCATTTACAAGAGGCTGCACTCTGTCAATTAACATCCTGAACAATTTTGAAGTCAGACAGATAATTTTCCACATTCTAAATTAAGAAAATGCTAATATCTTCTTACTCAGAAAGTCTTTATAAAAGTGTTTATTTCTCTTTCTTTGAATTAGAATTTTTATTAAGAAGTAAGAACTACTTTCCATCTTAAAATTATTTTAAATTATAAATTCAATTTTTAAATAATTTTAAAATATTAAAAATAAATTGAATTTTGCATGAATCCCCCTCCTTCCATGTGATCAAAATATCATCTTTCTCTGATATTTTTCTCTGTATTGATTAGCGCATGTATTTAGCAATCTGCTTTAGAGATTTTGATGCCTAATATGAATAATGAACTAATTATTTATAAGTGTCGTTCTTTTTCAGTGTTTCTCATTGTAATTTTTAGCCGAAGTTAATGTTTTAAGACTAGAATAAAATTATTATTTTATAATCCCTCTCAGTCAGTATAATTAAGTATCACATCTTGCATTTAATGAATATAAAAAACACACTTGAAACTGTATTTCTATTTATAAACATAAATTAAAAAGAAATGTGGCAGATATACTAGATCAATCAACCTAAATTCGACACTTATCGTAAAATATTTTCAGTATTTCTGGAATATAACGACTATTCATATGCAATATATTCCGCTTGATAGCCTGTAAAGATATGCATAAATCTGCATAGTGAAAATAAATCATGTAATTTCATACAGTAATAAAGAAAAACACCCTTTGTCATACTTTGCAATCTTTGAAGGATATTTCTCTGATGATGAGACATCTAATTTTTAAAAATGTGATTCTATAATTAATTACATGTTTCTTCAGTTTTGAGAAATTCAGTATCAAGGAATATGATTTAAACACGAGAAAGTATAATGTGTGCTTTAGACACAAAACTTATTAGTGATTGTAACCTATTTTGATATTATTACCCTTTGAAAAGTATTTCTCAGATTTAAACAATTAGACCATTCATTAGCAGTACTCAAACGACGTTTCGATTTATTTTTCTGGATTGTGCATTATTGCTTCGTTCATTATCAGCTGGCTGCATCTTTCTTTATCCTTAAGTAATTTTTTTAAACTTATTTGTTTTGCTTTGCGTTCCTTTGGCCCTAGTTTCCTATAATTTAATCTCCTCTTCTTTTGCTGTTCTGAAATTTTCTTTCAATGTTGAAACTTTCTATGAGTTCAAACCGTTTAAAATATAAAATTGCTATTGTTTTGCCTGTATTTCACATTCCAGTTAATAAGTACTTCTCCCATAAATAACAAAGATTGAGTTCTGAGTTAGCGAGCTAGACTCCCTTCGTCAACAGCATCATTTTCTTGAGAAAGAATATCTGAGGCACAGATGTGACTCGTCTGTTTTAAATTTTTAACTTATAACTTTTTAAATTTTTTACTTAACATAAGCTTAACATACCTATTGGATACTCATTTGTCTCAGATGGAAATTTTCTAATCTAGAGAAAACCTTGACATTATCAGATTTTATGGTATCATACTAAATATTATAATCTCAATATATTTAACCGATTCTTGCACCTCACTTTAGCCTAAATGGACTAACGGGAAAATATGCGCCATCTTCATTCCAGCTATTTTGTCATGGAGATTTAAAGATGTCATTACACCTGTAGCTTTGATATGATTAATTTATTAATTACAACTAGGTTTTTGGCGATATATCTTTGATTTGATTTTAGAAGTTCAGGTTTCTTCAAACTGATTCGATTATATATACAAAACATTTTTAAAGCAGCCTTGCTATAATATTATTATTAGGACTCATCAAAATCAGTAGCACATTCTATTTTTCTTAGCAGAAATCCTCACTTAGCTATATAGCTTTAAATTTGAGGACAAAGAATTTGAGAATTTTGAATTAAGTCTTTTTTACGATCCTGGTTTTTATTTTTTTAACATTATGGATTTTCTTAGGAATATCGTTTTTGTTCTTTCTATATTTTCTAGCATTTTGCAAATTTTCCAACTTTCATTTGCTTTCGCAACTGAAATCAAAGCCATCTCATCTAGTTTACTCATTCTTTCTATTTAGGCATTACAATTTCCCAGATTTTGTGATCATGGATTCATTGCTCTTACCCCCTGCCTACATATGAATTTACTTTGAATTCAGATTATATTCTTAGGCTGTTTTGAAAATCGTCTTCTATTCAATTCCGCAAATGTTGCAGCCGAAACCTTCTCATATTGTTTGTTCCTTCTTTCCTGTTAAGCTTTATATTACCATTTAAGTTGAGACATAACTGATGTACTATTCTTTGGCTATGTCTCACCTTACTACACTATAAGCCAACTGTCCAACCAATTTGTTAATTTTCTTAAGAAAAATAGAAACAAATGGCAAGTATTTGCCTGGAAGAAGCTAAAATAATCACCTTCTAGGACATTCTAGACATGTCCAAGACACGATACCTACCTCTTTGATTGATTTGTCTTCTTAAGCTAACGAGTTCAAAGGGGCAAAATTTAATTACGTAAAGTATTTTTGACATGTTTTGAACCATTTTATTTTCAATTCCTCAAGTTTATTCTTGAAAATATGTGGTCTAAGGTTCCTTTATCATACCAACAAAATAACCAGAAGAGAACAAGTCTTATCAATATTTAACTGAATAAAATTCAAACCGCAGACTAAAAGATAACTAATACTAATATAATGTTTCAGGTAAGTCTCAAAAATTAAGTAATCAGAGCTTTAGAATCAAAAAGAAGCAGCTTCATTTTGCAGATAAATATTAACAGCACTTTATTCAGAAATTTATTCTACCTGTACATTAAGGAAGAATGCAGATGAGTACACTTTAATGAAATTTTGCCTTTTATGATTATTGATCTCATTTTAGGAAAAAATATAAGGTTAAATTACTTTACATATTTCTTTCATTTCATAAATTTGACAGCAGAAAATCGGGAGGAAAAAACATTAAATCTTGTGACTAAAATGTAACTTTTATTCAAGCAAATCAACGCAACATGGAAATGCGATTTACAATATATACCAGGTAACCAACAAAGTTCGTGAGGTTCTTGAGAACAATTGATTTGGGCGCGTTAGTGTGGTCCAATTGATTATGATGACACCATATGTTTGCACTCCTTCCAAACTTTATTCAGTAGAGAGCTGTTCAGTGCATTGCATGTTTCGCCGTTGGTTTCATAGGAACTTCAATCTTCAAAGAACATGTCGTTGGAAAAGGAGATGTTGAGGCCTATTTTGCTTTACGAGTAAAAATTAGGAAACATAGTTGCAGAGGCTGGGAAAAGAATATTCTCTGCGCTGGGGTAGACATGTGAACAGACTGAACAGTGAATGAACGTATTGATCAAAAGCGGTTCGGCCGATTTTCTTCTGAAGCCCAGATCCTTGAAGACAAGCTTCGTATTGGTCGTTCCATTTACGCTCGACGAAGTCCAGTCGGAGGAGGAAATCAAGCAGAATCTTGATCAAACCTGCCAGCCAGGAGCTTGCACACGTGTTTGAAATATATGATGAAGCCTTTCTATCACATCTTCATAACCTTGGGGTGAGATGGAAGCTAAGCAAGTGGATTGTTCATGTCCTCCTCTGAACAATCTTAGTAAAGAGGTCAATTTACATTCTTTGCCATTTAAAAAGTGACTAGGAGCTGGTACCCAGTTACCAAAACCTGGTGGCGACGAATTATCTATCACCATAATTTAGTTCGGTTATGTGCAGCCATTAGGTTTGTCGAGATGATGTAAAATGCGCGTTCGAAATCCGGGCTTCTCGATTGTTAGCCGGATGCGCTTCCAGTTACATCACGAAGGCACGCAGTAAGAAGGGAGAAAATGCCTTGCACTGTTTGTCATTAAATGTATATTTGAAATTACTATTTGCATTTTTTTATTTTGCAATACCTTCAAAAACACGAAAAAGACCACTTTGCGATGCTATGCTATCCAACATCGCTAAAATCTCGAACCCCATGGGTTATTAGTCTTTGCTATAAACGGTGATTCTTTTGCAGTCTTCAATACATTGCTCCTATGCAACTAGCTGCAGGACACTGTTACTATTTTAACGGGTAAATATATTCGTTCTCCAGAGCATGATCAGGAAGTGTTCCGGTTGCTATGGCCATGCCAGAATGAAGATTGTTCTTTGGAGGTGACTGATGCAGAGATCGATAGATTCTGTACGATTTCTGTCGGACGGTGTTTTTTGGAGGTGATTGATGCAGATATAGTCCGATTTCTGAAAATAGTTACCTTTTAAGTAACTTTAAACTGCAAACACTGCAAGGCTATTTACTTCCAAAATTATAGATATTCGAGGGCATTAGAATTAGTTTTAATTAAGAGTAATTCATTGGTCTATTACATTTGCATTTTTTATGCTGCTACTTTTTTAATAATAGCTATTTTGTGATGTAAAAAGGTGTTCACAAAAACTTCAGTACCTATAAAGAACGTATTTGAAAAAGTTAGAAATTTTAAAATCTTAGGCCTGGAAAAGGTTTAATCCTCAAATTTCAGCTCAAATCTGAATCAGAATCACCAGGTATTAACGTACATAGTTAATTTAGGCACGATTTTAAATAAATATTTATAAGTTAGTATAAAACTGTTATTCTTGAGATTTATATTTCTTCGGAAACCTGTTATTATTATTTCTAAAACTTAATTTATTCGCCAAATTCACTTTTCAATTAAAAAAATTTAAAACTACGCGATCACAACTTTAAGACACTTTTCAGTCGAAAATGAATACGTTTGTAGTGAAAAAATACGAAATTAAATATAGACCGAAATGAAAGCTGCAACTGTTTATATCTATTCTAAGTAGCTATCACTTTCTTTTCAGTTTAAATAATTTTTTAATTGCATTATCATGACAGCACAGTTTCTGAATTTGACTACTGCTTCATATTTCTGTTTGGAAGTTACTACTCCTTATATGCAAACGAAGAGATTTTTAACGGGTTTTCACTTCCTTTTGCTTTCTAAATAAAATTTTCTTCTAGTTAACTTTTAAGGAGAGAAACCTAATTTAAAAAAGAAATTCTTGCAAGTAGAAAAATAATTTAATCTTGCCACCAAGAACCTTAAGCTAATTAACATTAAATTGCAGTGATAGGTTTTTATTGTTTGGGATACATCCAGATCAGTTCTATAACGAACTGTATTTCAAGTTTTCTGATGATAAGATATGAAAACAACATTAAGAGACAAGGATATTAAGAGATGTTAAGATTAAAATATTAACAATGATATTAAGAGATTGCTATCATCATTTTAGCCATGTTCAAATTCTATATCACAGTGATTAAAGAAGCAAATTTTTGAAGGTTTATGTTTTATTCTTTCAGAGCTGTCATCATTTTCCTTCATTATTAATACGAAAGCGTCTAATGATGTGTTCAGGAATATCACAAGTGCCCTTGAAGTT